TAGGGTGGGTTTAGTTAACGCTAAAATTTAAAGTTTGGTTGAAATTGCAACGATGTGACGGAAAAGTTGAAAGTTTATGTGTAGGAAAATTTTGATGTGATATAAAAGTTGGAAGTTTGAAGAAAAAATTTGGAACTAAACTCGGCCTTAGTGTAAATGTCACAGATTATGTACAAGTCTGCAAAAGAAAATAAAATGTATGCCTGCTCCAATAGTTTTGTGGATGATATGATATACTTCTGAAGATAATCCTTCTTTGGTTTTATATATATCTTGGGTACATGAAGATTTGACTCAAATAGTTTTATAGGTTCTGGTGTTGGCAAATCAAATATATATAATTAGGTTGTTTGTCAATGTTAGCCGCCTGATTCTCTCGAGTGATCAAGATAGCTCTGAACATTCAGGGATGGCATCTGACAGTTGTTCTAGAAATAGCTGTAAATTTTGTTTCATAAGTAAATGAGTAAAAGGAAAACCGCACACTAGTTTATTTGGGAAATTTAATAAATTCCATTGCAGTTTAACCATTTTTGTTTTCAGGTATGGATCTTTTCAATTGTGCTAATACACCATTAAATTCTCTTGAATTTGTGCCCTAAATCAATGTGAACCGGTATTTTTTTAGAAAGTACAGTTGGGAAGTACAACGTAATTACACTCTCTCATTGTGGGTATGCATACAGCATACGCACTCGCATTAAATGTGCATACGTATATGTTCTTCTAAAATTGGTTGATATGTACAACAATGTCTAGTATACGACTTGAACTGGGTAGACCATATGCACAATTTTGTGCCTAGCCATATGCCACAAACTAGTTTTCCAGTGAGAACTAGTCTTGTAGTTTGATTTTGAAATACCAGTATGAACAAGGCTTTTTTCCTCTTCATTTCCCACCATATAAAGAGGACAAAGATATATCTTTAAAGTGAGTTATATATATATATATATATATATATATATATATATATACCAAATAATTACCAAACTTTCTTTCTTGATTCCCTTTTGACAATGAGGTATCTAGCTTAGCTTTACCATGGCTTGAGAAAAAAAATGCCAAAGAAAAGGGTGTCTTTTTCATTGCACTGGCTTCAACTAGCTAGGGATCATCTTTTTGGGGGAATTATTCCCTCCTGCAGCTTGTTTAGTTGCAAATGTAGGGTTCCTCCATCTGGACAAGGAGAAAATGCTGGTCCTTTGATGCATTGTGGACCATATCTTGTTGCCAATAAGCTGATTTGATAAATATTCTCTATTGATTGATTTGGTCCACTAATCCTACATGGTTAGGGGTAATTGTTCCACTTGTTAGGTTGTTAGGGCAGTAGGAATTGATGTGATACTTTGAGCAATGTGACAGTCATATTTTGAATTTTCCATGTCTACACAGTGTTTTTTTTCTAACAGAGTATATTTCAAACCAATTAGCTAGCTAGACATTGTCAAACTTTATATATAGACCTATATATATACGTGGCAAAATTAAGCAAGTACATAATTACTTCATACAAAAGATCGCTTTTGGTTTATTCAACAATTTTGTAATAAGTGGATATAGCTTCTTTTGAAGTAAGGTCGGATTATCTACTATCTTAAACAAAAATCTATAGGGGTTGAGAAAATCTTTTTCTGAATTAGGTGATTAATCGTAAGGTGAGAAAACAGTATACTTCTGTACTAAATTTGCGTAGCTTTGTGGAGATGACGTCCCATGAAAAGTGGCTCGCAAACCATTTTGGAGAGTGACTATCATCAGGAATGAGGGGGAAAATAAGAAGAGGAAAAATATAAAAGCAAGGAAAGATATGTGTCATCTAACGGAACAGCATGCCTGCTTTTTAAAGCGAGCGTGTGACGTCATAACGACATGATTAGATGTGTCTGAAGGACATGAGCATCACTGGCTAAATCTTGTTCATTAAGCTAACGGAGAAGAGATTATAATATTGAGAGTCATGTACACATAGCTAGCTGACTCTTTTTCTTTTCTTTTTTTTTTCATTACCACACTCTCAAACAGACTTGAGACATAAATTTATTAGTGCGACAATTAAAAGTCTTTCAAAAATATGTACGTAAATTAATATTGACGGTAATATTTTATCCTGACGGGTAGAGTCATGTATATTGATTAACTCCAATCTCCAATATAAGTCAATGACCAAATTAAGTTGTAAGTTGTAACCACACTGCAACATTTGGGTAGAATAATTAGTGAATATCCATGTGTAAAACTCTAAAATGGAATACAATCACCATTACAAAAAAAAAGCTCTAATTCAATGTGTAAAGCATATAACCACAAACCAGACAATTTGGTGGAGGAACAATTACAAGAACCTTCTGATTAATTAGCTTGCCAACATCCAACTGGATGTTCTTCAGTGTCCTCTCCTGAACTGTCAAAATTAAAGAACCATCAACAGTCCAAATCCAAGAACACCAGCACTAACCCAAAACATCAAAACCGCACATAGTCGTTGGACCTACATGCTAGGCATTTTGATTTTGGAATCCTTTTTGCAAAGATGGTACACACATATACATGCTTTGATTGATGACCACATTGCAGAGGTTGGCACACTAACAAAAGAGTTAGTAGCTCTTAGCATCTGGTCAGTGTCGTCTTCTCTGAAATTTGCAGTAGCAAACATGGTAGATTGCTCTCTGTCGCGTGAGAGGGAAGGAAGGTAAGCAGAAGGCAGATCAGACGAGCGGTTGGGTTGCTGCTGTCTGCACCAACCATCCGGCGAGTGTAGTGGAGGAGGGTTTCGATCAAGGTGCGTGTCACAACTCACCAGTGGTGTACTCTCACTTAATTAGATTATTAGAAGCTAATAACCTGGTGCTTTGTATAATTAGCTCCTGGTTTTCTTTCAACTAATCAAAAGCTTTGCTGATGACTGTATGTTCTTAGTGCCTCTGTGCATGTTTCATGTTTCTGTCGTAATGCTATGTTTGGGGAGCTTCTGACAGAGATACAGATTCTTTCAGAGTCCTTAGTTTTTCGAAACAGTTCAGATTATGGGAATCTCGAGCTCCCTGAATTTGGACCTAATCAGAAGTTCAGAACTGTTAATCGACTGATGGTTAACTGAATGATGGCACTAGTGAGGTTAGCGCGTAATTAGTTTGTTAAATGATGTCACAGAGAGATGGAGGATTGTGGTTCCTGCTTTCTTTCACCAGAGAGAATTTAGGAGAAATGCATACAGAATCAAACATAAATCCAAATATGCACTACACTGTTGCTTATTGACTTGGGTTTAGTACATTTCAGGAAACATATTTCTTTGAGCTGGAAATAAATACATCAAAGTTTGGAATTTCTGAAGCTGGACAAGAGCTTTCAGGGAGAGAATAGGCCTGATGTCCCACAGAGATATTTCTGAACCTAATGGGTTGTGGTTAGGTTAATTTAACAACGTACGACAAGTACAACGAAATGCCAGGGGCAGTTTGTTCTTGTGCTTGTGATGAAGACTTGACAATAATTTGAGAACTCTAGCCTTTATATGCAAACCCAACACCTATATTGTACTCACACTACTACTACTATTTGTGTCCTTGAAACTTCAGCAAGCACTGTTTCAGTTAACTTCAGTACAGGTTTAATTGACCGAGATTTTTGGACGTTTCGGCGTGATTAGAAATCAATTTTCCGGGAGGGATTTCGAATGGTATTTGTTAAATTCAAGTTCAAAACAGTAGTAAATCTGATCAAAATGTGGTCGAAATTTGTCAAAAACCATGGTACCTCCAGGACTCGGGATCCGGCGGTCAATCGGAAACGTAAACCCTAAGAGTAGCACAAGTTATATATCTTGACAAATTCTTTCGCAATGTAATTTGCTCACTAAAATCTTTTCATGAATTCATGGTGAGCACATAAGAAAAGATCAAATCAAAATAATCATGAATCAAGCAGGTTAGAAAATTGCCTTCTCTCTTAAAAAAATGAATCAAGCAGCAGGTTTCAGCCTTGGTTCTTGCAGAGGTTGGCATGGCCACTTCCATGCACACGACATCCACGAGCCATCTGCAACTTTTGCTTTTGTCACTCTGAATTTGTATATATATTTTTTTACTCCATCACTTTTGCATGGCATTTGGAGATCGTAATCTCTCAACATCCGGGGCAGTTGGCTGAAAAGAACGTTTGAAATCGATCAATCGACCAGGTCAATTTCGACGACAATTACTACTACGATCCTAAGTAGTAACTAGATACTCCCCTACATGTACCAATAATGCAGGGGTTAATTTAGAAAGGGGGAGAGAAAAGGTTGGTTAAAAGTTAACCATGGCTCGATTAGCGAAAAAGTTGGTGATCATAGGAAGGGTTTGGTGGTTAAGATGGTGACCTCGTGTCAACAAGAAATCAAAGCAAGTGGTGTGTCTTGGCTTTTAACCTGATCGATCATGGTGGATTCATTCATTGAATTGATGTGATATCTCCATATCAAATTGATATGACGACTAAAGTGATCGCACGCGTTAGTGCGTGCGCTTATACGAACGTTTCAAAAAGGAATATATAATCGCAAATAAAATAAGATTTACCTGCTGATTTTTAATCACCAATTAAATTCACAGATTAAAGAAAAAGTCATTTAAGCGTTAGCGTGGTTGACCTGTAAGTTAGCATAAGCTAGAAACCTTCTCCGGTTAAAAAAAAGTATGTTATTCATTGTCTTGCCCCAGGTTCAAATTTCAAACTGAATATATACGATCTCCATAATTATAAGCTGTGCGAGGAAGAAGCGTATAATCAAATTAAATCAGATAGTAGCTGTAATATGACTTAGCTGATATTCTAAGTAGTCTTCTTGTTTCAATTAAGCTATTAAAATGTTTGATTCGTTCGACCAGCAGTCTGTAATAATTGAATATATCTTCTTTGAAAAAAAATGCTAGAATGAATTCCAAAATCTATTTTTCTTAAAAAAAAAACCTGGCGTTCCATTTTGTGCAGGCTCTGATTTCCTCGAATTCTCGTGGGCCAACTTCCATATTGTGTTTCAATCGATGGTAGCAATCCAATTCTTGTGGATTCATCCAGCCCACTTTACCTGACGGACTAACGGGCCCAAAATTTCTAGATAGAAACGGACCAATACGCACCCGTCTCGGAGTCGGAGTCCGCGCCCTGCTCACGCCACCGCCACCGCAATTGGACTCCGAGTCGGAGCCCGACTCCGAGTGCGGAAAGGAGGATCGCCTCGATAAATGGGCCGGGCCCGATGCCCGCGAGCCATCCATCTCCCGCTCCGCGCGCGCGTTGCGAATCTCCGCCATCTCTTCTAGACTTCTCTCCCCGTCTCGCGCCGCTCTGAGACCTAGCATGGCTGTGCCACTGCCCGAGCCCGCTGCCGCCATGGCCGACGTGAACTGCCGCTGCAGCCGCGTCGTCTACGTCGGCAACATCGCCTTCCACGCCACCGAGGCCGAGCTCCGCGACGCCTGCGAGCTCATCGGCCCCGTCCGCTCCCTCCGCCTCGCCGCCCTCGACCCGGCCACCAACAAGCGCAAGGGCTACGCCTTCGTCGAGTACGCCGACGACGAGACGGCCCGCAGCGCCCTCCGCAACCTCCACGGCCACCTCCTCCGCGGCCGCGAGCTCCGCGTCGGCCTCGCCGCCCGCCCAAGCATCAGGCGCCGCGGTGGCGGCGGCGGCGGCGAGCGCGAGCCCGTCGGCATGGAGGACGCCGTCCACGCCGCGTCGCTCGTGGTGTCGGGGCGGCCACTCGCGTCCGTGACGAGGTACCTGGCGGCGCGGTCGAGGCAGGAGGTGCGGGAGATGGTGGCCGCGCTGGAGGCCACCGAGCAGCTGAAGATTCCCGGGCTGGGCACCGCCATGGAGCAGGCGCAGCGGCTGCTGGAGATGTTCGCCGCCGACGAGGAGGAGGTGGCCAGGAAGAAGCTGAAGCGCGCGAGCGATGAAGAGCACGCGAAGCAGAGCAAGGTGGTCGGGGTTGATGGCGTCGTCAAGGCTTCTTCACGCATCGTCCCCTGCTTCTGATCTATTCTCGCTGTTCAATGTGTTATAGTACTAGTTGTCATCAATTGTAAACATCTGAATTTGTAAACATCTGAATTTGTAACTCAGTAACTCAGTAGCTACTTGTATCACCTATTGGGAAATTTGAATAGATGAACATTCTTGAATCAATGACCTATTTAGTTATTTATTCTTAGCAAACACCTTTCGCAAAGACCAATCGGTTCTCGAAACACGATCCATATCAGGAATAGTGTGAATTTCCTTTTCTGTTGTGAGTCAGTGAGTGCAATTCTCTTGTATCTGTAATTACCACAGTTCAAATTCTGTTACTATATGCATGTACTCGGTAACTCAGCCAAAAAAAACCTTGACTGAACTGTCTCATCCATGGAGAAGTTTCTGAAACTTCGATCACTATCATCCAGAACCAGAAGAGACATGCTAGTTAACTGATGAGAAGTCTCACTCTTTTCTTAAAAGTATTCACCAGGAGACAAAACTTACTAACATGACCAAGATTACCATTTGTGAATTCTTCTGGTTGCTAAAATTGACAAAACTCTTTTCTCAATCAGACTGCAAAATGGGAGACAAAACTGAGTAAATCGATCACCATTAGTGAACTCTTTTCTTGCTAAAATTGCCTATCAGAAGAAAGCACTTCAAGCATCAGCTCTGCAGGAAGCCAGCATCAGCAGTTTCATGTAAGCGGATGGATCATTCTGTCGTCGTGGCGGCGGCTGCGATGGTAAGATGCAACAAGCAGAAATTAGTTATTGCTAACTCAATGCACATTTGGATATGACTACTTAACAGCAAACAGGAACCAACAAGCAAGCACAGAAGCTGTTGTTCAGGTCTTAATATGCATGAGGTTTAAGCAGTATTAATTTGCCAATCAGGTCAGAACCAACAAATGCATAGAACAATAGAACATTCCCTGAAAATCAAAAGAGCAGATATGAACACGAGGCGTTAATCTGCATCTAAGAATGATGTGGAACGATACAGAATGAAACCTGTAAACATGCTATACATTCTCTGAAGAATGATCTGGAACGATACAGAATGAAAACTGCAAACATGCTATACGTCCCCAGCATGAACACCAATTTGATGTGGGGCTTATGCATCAGATCAGCCAGAAAAGTGGTAAAAGGAGTAATTGGCCGGATCAACAATCTCCTAGTTACAAATGTCAGTAAACGATTTGGATTTGACTAATTATCAGCAAACCGCAACTAATCAAGCAAGCACACAAGCTGTTCAGGCTCAAGAAATCGCAAACTAATCAGTTCAGAACCAACAAATGCACAGAACAATCTCTGAAAAAAAAGAAGAACGCAGAGCTCGTACCTGGAGTGCAGAAGCTCGTGTAGGGAAATACAGCGTAGATTCCACTTCTCCTCAAGGCCACCCTCGCTGGTCCAGTTGATCCCAGCTCAACGATGAAGGGGCCATGGTACGACCTGACGACAACCACACGAACGCCACCGTCGGCGAAGCCGATCAACACATTGTTCATCATGGAGATTGAACCCCGGGGGAGCAGCGTCTTGAGGTCCCTGACATCTTCGAGGTGCTCCCATTGATCCATCGACTTCGACCACAGGTGGAGGTTGGACCGCTCCAGCACGGCGGCGAACCCGAGCCCGCCACCCTCCGCCGTCATGAGGAGAGCGCCGTGCACATCCTCCGGTAGCGGCGGCGAGGGGATCACCGACAGCGTCATCGTGGCCATGTCGAACTCGACGATGCTGGTGTTGTTGTCACAGAGGAAGTAGAGCGCGTTCCCCACGAGGACGCTTGGCCTTCTCGCCTGGACGAAGGCGTCGGGGTGGTGATCAATGGAGGCCGGGCCGCTCCACGCGTCGGTCGCCGACGAGTAGAGGGCGGCGTGCGTGGTTCCCGCGACGTCGGTGCCCACCAGCGCCACGCCGAAGGCGTCGCCGCCGTGGCAGTCGAGATGGTCGCTGTTGGAATCAGCCTAGGAACACAAGAACAGAGCTCTCTTTCTCTCACACACAAGAATGGCTGGAGGTTGAAGATGAACAGTGGAGTTTCGGCGACGAACGCCGCGGAGCCTATCGCTCCTGTATCTTGGCTTTATTACACACTGAAAGTTCACACGGCACTACTTAAATACGAGCCTACACAGCCAGTTTTATACCCACGGCGACGCAGCGCCCACGCACCCACTTAGCGAGCTTCACGCGCACGTACGCATGGCAGCCTGGACGACCTGGTTTCACGCGTTCGTGAGCCACATACTCCTCCACATGAACGGGCCTCCATCCTTCTCGCATGGCGTGCTCCTGCATGCGCTCAACCGCCAGGACTTGGCCTCTGGACTCACATACATCGAACACACACACACAACGTGTACAGCACCACCACAATGCTGCACACACGCACGACTCCTGGACTCACGACGCCATGCGCCACTGCCGCGCCGCGGCAAAACGCAGGCACGGCCATGACAACGCGTTTATTCCTAACAGTCGCAGACGTGCGCGGCGCAGAGCACCGCTGCGCTCCACTGCGTCGCGCTCCAGTGGATGTTCCTCCAGCGCTCCGGCGCGTCCAGCAGCCGCTCCGCGCCGGTCATGGGGTCCGACACGAGGAGCCGCACGGGTAACCCGTAGGCGTCGAAGAGGGCGCGGCCATGGCGGGAGTCGCAGAGTAGCCAGTCGGCGCTGGGAATGATCGGGCGGAAGGCGGTGGTGGGGACGAATGTGGTGCGCCCAAACTCTGCGCAGAAGAAGCCCAGGATCGGAGGCGCTCGGTGGAAGGCGCGGTAGCCGCGGAGGAAGTCGCGGTCGGTGAGGAGGCGGCGCCACGACTTGCAGACGACGGAGAGGCGGACGAGGACCCCGGGGTCGCCCGGCGGGATGCGGAAGAAGATTTCGGAGAGGACGTCGTCGTTCAGATCAGTCAGCGAGTTGCCGCGGCGCTCCGGCTTCTGCGGCGGCGGATTCATGGTGCTCTTGCTCGGCTCGGCGGCGACGCGGCGTCGTGTTTGGGTTTTTGGCCGTTGGGGTGGAGGCGATCGCGCGATGGGGACGAAGATGGCGAGGCCGAGGCTGATACTTGAACTTTATACTGGTTGGTTGGGTGTGGGGCCCAGATGTCAGTGGAATATTTGAGCCTGGAACTTTCTCGAGTCCACATTTTTCAGTTCTAACTCTTTTCAGCCACTGTCATTGCAGTGAATTTCAGACGAAGGCCCATGGGCCTTTTCACATATCCATCTCAACCTTTAAATATTTTTAGCACAAAACACTACTAAATTTTCGATTTTGCTATATCTCACTCGAAAGATTTTTTTTCTTATCTCTCACTTGATTTTCTCACTCAAATTTATAGTGCATTTTCTTGTAAGTTACAGTGTAATTTATGAAACTTACACTATAACTTTTGTAAGTTACACTGTAATTTTTGAATCTTCACATGTAAATTTTAAATTTTGTATTGGATTTGGTCTTTTTCTTGAGGATATGGTAATTTAGTGTCCATTATGGTATTTCTTAATTGCTTTTTGCTTTTTATTATATCTATCGGATTTTAATCCAAAGATTAAAAATCTGTGTGATACGATCATAAAAATCTTTCGAAAGATGTATAGGTACTCCCCTAAATTTTAACCCAACCTTTTTTTACCTAACCCTCACATTTTGTAGGCCAAAATGTTGGGCCCATTACCATCCCTAGGCGTAGACAGCCCAACTGCCCAAAACCCCTAAATATGGGCCTCTCGGAATTGCAACAATAATCATAGCAGCCGCGCGAAACGACTGGTTGAACATGAGAAATAGAAAATTGGGGAAAAGAGAATTGCATGTTTCACTAACACGTGAGTCCCACCTATGAACGAGTCAACCACGATCAACCTTCCACATCTGCAGAAACCGATTTTCAAACTACTATCTTTGTTTCATATTATAAGTCGTTTTGACTTTTTTTTCTTAGTCAATCTTCTTAAGCTCTGACCATGTTCGTGGAAAAAAAATACTCTCAGATATCCCTTTTCCAAGCAAAATTAAAAAGACAAGTAATCCGAGTAGTACTTATAGTGCCCGAGTAGAAGTCTGCTTCTCTTTTCTTATTGGAAACAATTTCCATATATGAGGCATGATTCGGTATAAGACGGTATAAGGTGGTCTTATTGAGCCCAACAAAAACTATTGGGCATGCTTTATCTATAACACTAACATATTTAATGTTAGATTTAATAAAATTAATTTATTACTATAAATGTTGCTATATTTTTTATAAATTTGATCAAACTCTTGAAATAATTCACTGAAAAAATTCAAAGCGAATTATAATATGAAACAGAGGAGGCAGTGAATGAGTCGATTTGTAACCTTGTTCTTTTCTTTTAAAAAATAAAATAAAATAGAGGTGAAGTGGTTGACGGAGTTGATTTAATCAGTAGTAAGAGGTTGGAGGAGGCAAAATATACTTATTTTTTCCTAACACGAGATGGGCTCGCCTCGGCGCGTCGCGCGCGTGCAGCCAACGACCCAACTCCATCGTCCTCCTCGTCGTCCGCCTCCCTCCCCTCCACCTCCGGCCCCGCCGAGAAAGGGACCCCCCCCCCCCCCCCGCCCCGGGTCGCCGGCCGTCGAGGGAGCGGAGGCGGAGGCGGAGGCGGAGGCGTGACGGCGCGAGGGAGGGTGAGGGTGCGCCGTGCCCGCAGTCTCCTGTGACAGGTGACTCTCTCCCTCTCTCTGTCTCTCCTGATTCTACCGCATGCGCCGCCTCCGACGATGGGGGGGTGTTGACTAGGGCGTCTCCGCGACATCTCGTTTTGCGCTTTCCCCTCGATTCGCTTCGATTTCGCTCTCTCTTTGCTAGGTTTTCTCAGTTAATTCTGGATATGGTTTCGTTTGGCGTCTGATGGGAAAAAGGAAATTCGTTATGAACTTCGATTGATTTGTGACTCTGGTGATGCGTGGAATGGGTATCTGCAAATTTTCAACTAAATTTCCCTTCGCTTTACTGGCACTGCAGTTTTTGAAGTAACGAACCTTTCAGAAGAATTTTTGAAGCAACTTGTTAGTATTTGCAAGTATGTCAGTTTTAGTATCAAGTTGTTTCAACTGTATTCCATATCGCGGAGTTTATTTCTATTTTACTAATTAGTGCTGATTAAAATTTTCTGATATGTTTCTGTATTCCTTATTTGATGATACGAGATCCGGTCTCTGTTACGAAGTACTAGTGTTGTTTATGAGATCATGGTGAAGGGAGAAATGAAAAATTGTTGTATCATATTAGGATAACATTTTCCTTGATATTCTGTTAGGAACTACAGTATCCCATGGATTCGCTTCAGAAGTCCCACGATTTGTGCCTGAAGCGCAAGCTTGTTGATGATTGCCTGTCGAAAGACTTCAAGTATCGCCGCGTCGAAGAGGATAATGTATCTTCCAATGTGGAGAGCAGGCCCTTACCCGGTTCACCTTCTCAGAGTTGCTGCATTCAACCTAATCTGGCTAAAGATTGTGTTAATTACCTGAAAAGCGGGTTGCCAAGTCGCATTGCATTTTACAAACAAGGTGCATGGTGTGATTTCCCTCAGAAAATAATGGAGTCCCTTGTTGAGGGATTCAAAGCTGATAAATCTAGTGCTGTAGTTGTGATGGATGATCAGCCTCTGCTTGTTGATTTCTTGTCGATGACCATGGTGAACCTAAAAACAAGAAAGCAGAGATCTGTTTCATGGCTAGATGGCACTGGCAAGTGGTTTTTTCCTTCTGCATTCTTTGACGAGGGCGTTGATGAATCCAGAAAATTAAACATGGGTTCTGAAGGCAGCGGACAAGGTCTAACTGAGGGGATGGTTCCAAAGGCTCCAAATGAACTGGTGAAGCAAGCTGTCGTTGAAACTAGCTCTCCAGTTTTACAGAATTCTTGTATTCCTGACATATTACGCAAGAAGATTGTGCCTGTTGAAAGAGGCAGTGAGAGCTTTCAGTTTGTTCAGAACCTTTTCCTCTCTGGCATGGGTTCATTTGCATCACCTAAAAACTTACTTCATATTCATCGGTACTCTGCAGAGGATGTCACAGCACAATGTAGACTTGAGTCTTTTGCAAGACAGATGAGGTTGACGAGAAAGAAAATTGGTTATGCTGATGTGAGATATGGATGGCTTGGATCTAGGAAGCAAGACATAGTTGGAGTTTTGATTAATGGTTTTATTAGCACTGGACAAACAAGTCACAGTTCTGATATGCGTACTGGTGTGTATCTCTCGCCTGAAAACCGTGCATTTACCAGGTTGTTGTTTTACTTAACTTTCATTAGTGGCCTGTTTAAATTCTATGCTAGTGGATAATATACTAGTCAACTCATAATTTTAAATCTTTTTATCATTCTATAGTGTTGGTCTCTGTGATGTTGATGAAAAAGGAGTTCAGTACATGTTGCTGTGCCGAGCAATATTGGGCAACATGGGAACTATAAAACCAGGATCACAGGATGAGTTTCTAAGCATATATGATTCTGGTGTTGACAATTGCTCCAATCCAAGCTATTATGTGATTTGGCCATCAAAGCTAGGCACTCATATTTCTCTGGAATATCTCATTAGTTTTAGGCTCACACCAGAAATTCAAGGTAAATTTAGCTAGGGGTGTTAAGAGTTAAGATTCTGACAATGTATACTCACACTGAGACAGAATGGGTGATTCATTCTTTAATCTTAACTGTACTTATTTTCAGACTACTTGCTTCACTTGAAGGGTTTATGGTTGTGCCCACCACCAAAAGAAGTGGAAGTGGATCTTTCTACTCTTCAACCTGTGAGTTGCTTTAAGAGTCATCTTGTGGTACATTCCATTAGGAAACAAAGGAGTTGCAATCCTTTTTGTTTTTTTTTTTTTGAAAAAAAAACTTGGATGCATCTTATAGAGAATTCCTGTCCAGGTTCACATTTACTACTATTCACGCCTTTTGTGTTGAATAAAATAGGTCAAAATTATCACAAAAAACTAGCAATTGTCTCATTGACCTGAGACCTATGACATAAATGTAGGTAGTGTGCGAATCTGATAATGGACCAACTTCTCCATGGATCCCATTCAGAGTTCTCTTTGGAACAATACAAGACAGTATATCATCACTAGCAAGGGAACTGCTCTTTCATCATTATCAAGAGCTGAAGGTGTTACTGTCTTGACAATTTATAATGTTCTGTTGTCAGGTGTCATTGAATTTTGCTGTCAGTTCTCTTCTGTGTTTCAATGTTTTAAAACCACACTTTTTTCTATTTGTTAGGAAAACAAGATTACTCGTGAGGAAATGGTCAAGAAAATTATCATAATAGTTGGAGAGCAATTGCTTTTGGATTCCTTGACGAAACTTAACTACAATGTAAGTCCTGCTTGTGCACGTTACTAGTGGAAACAGTAGGGGAGAGCCCTACTGAAAACATTTGTAAATAATAATAAGAAATACAGTGTTATAGAACTGAAGAAGAAAAACTCTGTAAAGTCCAAGTAGGAAGGCAAGATTGTAAATTTTAGGCCTTATATTTTAGTTCTAGGGAGCAGAAAGTAATTTTTTGGAAATTATTATTGCACAAAGCTTTCATGGAAAATCTTCCCTCACACCGAAAAGCTCATATGCATATGAAAGTGTCTGCCTTTTTTATTTTTTAACATGAACAATGAAACAGAATTTGATTAATTAAATTGCTTACCTGTTTCTCTTGTATGTGTTGTGAGGAGGGTCATGCAGAATTGGATTGCCTGAGAACCAACAATGAATAGTGATCCTTAGTCATAATGGAACGCGTGCTCTTGAGTCTTGAGTGTTTTAATGACCCCAGCGATTTCTTATTGATTATTGTTTTTCTTATTAGTTGGCTTGTTTACAGCATATTGTTGGCAGATTTGGCACGTTAATTAACGATAGTCTATCAGTTACACACATAATGGATGGTAATGCTGATTGCTTTGGAAAAAAAATGGCACATACTACCATCCTATTGAAAGGACACCACATTGTTATGTGCTGTAAATACATGATTTACCATTCAGTCTTGTTGGGACCTTTTTATAAGAGTGGCACATTTTTTATAAGGCTAAATTTCAAACTGTGGAACCTTTTCCTCTTGGACATCTAGTAAGAAAGAAGAAATAGCATACGGATAAATTGAGTACTATTGTATTCTTGGACATGCTTGGAACCTGTTAAGGATCTTTTATTAATCAAATAGCCAATCAGTACATATATGTGAGCCTTTTCTCTTGTTCCCATATCATGTTCTAAACTTCCTTTCTTTCTATTGCAGCCGTCAGAATGGTACAAGTCTTGTTCAGAAGTTAACTGTCATCCTTTAAGTATAAAACTGGATCCTATCTCCAACAGTAGAATTAACATAAACTCTGCATCTGGAAGAGCTAGCAACGATTCTCAAGCACCAAGTGTACAACCTCAGAAATGTGGACCTGTGGATTCTACAGTAGTAAGCATGGCCCTCAAAAGAGAACAATTCTCCATCCCAAGTATGTGTTCTGAAAGCTTTTCATCCCATTGCACAAAAAGTCAGGATTCTGTTGTGAGGATGAGACCCGATGACACCCTTGTGAGGAGGGCATTAATCAGTGATAGTGTTAATGGCTGTGATTCTGTTGGACCAACTGTTGAATCGCATTGCCATTCTCTCCTTTCGCAGAATTTTGACTCTGAAGGGCATGCTTCTCATGTAGTATCAATGTTTGGAAACTCTGGAGCAAGACTACATTCTAGTGCACCATGTATGACAACTGAAGCCCAGGTGTTTGTTGCACCAAGTAGAGCATATGAGAACTCATCATCTCTGAATGCTGAAGGCAGTGATGCTGTGATTTCAAGCATAGCCCCTCAAGTCCACGCACCAAGTATTCCCCCTCAAAATTGTCCACGAACGAGTGTGGCACCTCACCTCTGTTTACCAAGAAGTATGGCGCCCCACCTCCGTGTACTGAGAAAGATTTCTAAGGTTCATTCAACAAACATGCCTGAAGCTCACTATTCCAGTGCAGCAACTATGGTTCCTGTCATCTGTAAACCTCCATTGTTTGGCATTACCCAAAAAGGGCATGGTGTTCATACATCAAGTATGATGTGTACAACACCAAATGTAGTTCTCCATGGTCCTGATCACCCTGCAAAGTTGGCAGATACAGAGCGTAATGCTCCGTCACTAAGTATGTTGCTTGAAACTTATCTTCTCCTGCAGTATTGCAGGTTCACATATCTTGTCCACCTAATAAAGCTTTTCCAATGGTTTTGTGCAGTAAATGGGGCGTTGAGAAGAGAGGTACAAGTACAACGCCCCAATCAAGGTGTTGATGCTAGTAGCATCATCACCCAAGCAGCAGATACACTCGTGGCGTTATCAGCCCACGGTGAGAAAGGCTGGTAGAACCGTAGAAGAGTTATGGTTCATTTGTTACTCAGGTATATAGTCCTTCCTGAATCCCACATTATGTACATGGTCCTATTATATGTTCTTGTGTGGATGCACCTGATCAATTGCTGTGGTTTCCTGCCAGGTGTTTGTCGCTCCACTGTAAATAAGTGGAGGAATCCATCTTTTCCTCCCTTTGGCAGCGCAAATTTCACCTTGTTAACTTCGATGGTTATTCTGCAGTGGTTAAGTACTGTTGCAGTGTTGCTTCTATACTAACCTGGCTGGTTACTCAACAGAGATTGTACATTTTGTACAGTTGGTCATGCTTTTTCACATGTGTATATACATTGACTGGCATATTTCATAGTAGTACATAAACCTGAAAGTTGCTGAATGTTCAGAGCCCAAGCCCAAGCTTCAGTTTGTCAGGTTAACAAGGCTGTATCTAACATGTTGTCATTGTGCTTATCTAGTTGAGAATGAACTGGAAAGTGGAAACACTGAAATCACAACTTAGAAACTTTACTTCTGTTGCCCTGAATTTGTCGTCATGTTCAGCTACTTTTGGCCTTTCCAGGTACAACCTTTTTTGGCTGCCGCCGGCTTCTGTGACTGCTTTTTTGCTGCAAAGAGTCATTGAGCAAGAAGATTAATCTGGGCCGGACGGGGAGAATCCGGTTCGATTCGATGCCCACAAGTGCAGGGACCAGAAAGGCGTCGACAGGTTTGTTTTCTACTTGTGTGTTACTGCAGCTAGACAATTCTGAGTTCCAACTTGGGGGCCTCTCTGAAAAGGATCCCAAGTCTTGACGGCACAACATTAATCACAGTCCTCCAAATGTGGCTGTCCATTCATTGGAGACCTCAGCCTAAGTAAAATATCCATTGCAAGTAGGAGTACGTAAATTAGTCAAGGATGATTCCGGGGATTGGGAAAAATACATCTTTGGTGCGGTTGTTCAGCTCACATGTAGGATAAGACGCAGGGGGACAAATTGGACTCTAGAAAAAAAAAAGGACAGGAACTGAATTTTTGCGGAACGTAGTAGGGTCTATTTGGTTCCTTTGTCTTATAAGCTACAGCTAAATATTAAATTTGAAAAATTTAGGATTTTTATCCAATTTTAGAACTAAATTTTAGAGTTTTTACGTTGTAGTATATTTTCGAGCCTATGCTTTTAAACAGCAAATACCACATATTAGTGGTATCTGATCTTTCGATTAATTGTGATTAATCGTCTTGATCGATCCCCTGACTCTGATCAAGGACATTCATTTGATCAACTCGATCAGAAATTTGATCGTCCGATTAATCGTCGATCAGACGCGATTAATCGTCCGATCAAAGCACCTATCGATCACTTTTAGAACAAGTCTTAAGGTTTAGCACATGTGAATATGTGTTACTACTGCTGGTTGCTTTACACTATGATTGCTTTATACTATGCGCTATATAGAATATATGTTCCGGTATACATAGTACCGATCAGGTCGATTAATCGAGACTGATCGATGATTAATTGTCTTAATCGGTCAGATAACATTGCATATATAAAAAAGTTGTCTGTAAATCATTGTTGGCTGCTCCATTATTTTTTTCACAAATTATCAGTTGTATCTCAAACGATTTATTAGCCACGGGAAAAAGAACGCTTTCCAAACATGTCCATAATACTGACGAAAACATTAACAAAAACCGAATTCTTATTGAACGTTTTCCTGTCGCGCTCTTGCGCTGCCGCCACAAGGGCCACTTGCAGCATACAGTATGCGCTATCTACGATGAAATCTAACCTGTACTGCATTATTATTGGCATATATTTGTAGACAAAAGGTCAAACATTATTGGCATATATCGAACTATCAAGGCATTAATTCGATTTTGGAATATGCTAGTATGCTGGTGCTAGGTGGTGGCGGTTTTGGGTGGACGACGAACGGTGCGTATGTTGATTGATGGATCCGTCCACTGGAGTATAATTGCTAGTGGACGTTGATTTAGTCCAGTCTTTTGATCCTTGGATCGTCCGCAGTTGTGCGTTAATCTGTCCGTTTTTGGCTGCTCGTCCAGTAGCGGTGCAGCTCGGATGCTCAGCGGCCTTTTTGTCAATACATATATGATAGGACACCAGAGAAAATGGAGCGGATACGGTTTAATAATGCTCTCGTACCATATTCCATTATCATATTTCTAGCTGGATAAGAAACGAATAAGAATAACTTGGATACGAAAATAAATACGGATTATATTTCGAGTACAAATAAGATCATATATGATCGGGCGTGAATATGAAAACAAATATATATTTCTTAGAAACTGCTTCCAAACTATCCAAACGCAGAGGAAAATACCACCAGGTATTATGATTATTGACCAAATGATGTTCAATAAACTCAAACACATATGGTAGAGCAAGCGAAAATACATTTCTACTCACAAGTTCAAATATAATATTAATGGCATGGACAAGTATTTGTGAGCCAAATTACCACCAAAGAACTGAAACAATTGGTTAGAGAGCTCAACCGAGGTCTCCAGTTGAGAAGGAATAAGGGTGAGTTTGAGGATAAGGAGATCGGGAAGATTGAGAAGATACGCAAAATGAGGTGAGCTATTAGCGCATGATTAATTGAGTATTAACTATTTTAAATTTTAAAAATGGATTAATATGATTTTTAAAGCAACTTTTCTATAGAAAATTTTTGCAAAAAACACACCGTTTACTAGTTTGGGAAGCGTGTGTGCGGAAAACAAGGTGTTTTCTCACCCTATCTCACACAAACGAACGCAGCCTAAGTGAGCAACAATTTCTGGTCATCTGTATTACTCAATCCGTCCTAAATTATATGGCGTCATTCAATCTCGGTAACTTTTGACCAATAATTATACTAACTATATATATATACTCCCTTCGTCCCATAATATAAGGGATTTTAGATGGATATGACAAATCCTAGTGTAATGAATTTGAACAGACCGTTGCACTAGGATGTGTCAAATCCATCCAAAATATCCTATATTATGAGACGGCTATATTATGAGACGGAGGGAGTACTAAGTATTATATATGTTATATCACTAGATTCATATTTATTTTAAAGTACTTTCATGTGATGCTAATTTCATATTTGTTGAGACCATAACATGAAATAAATTGATGATCAAAGTATGTTATTAAAGACCGTGTAAAAATTATAGGCCTTATAATTTAGTATATATTAGAAACCATGACACATGCTCTTATTAATTTTCAAGAAAAAATTATGCATATTAGTATTTGTGTCTGGACTAATAGAAGATTAGTCATCCAAATTATAGCATATTATTTTTTCAAGGTGAGAAAAACTATTTCATTTTCATCCAAAAGATAAAAGCCAGCTGTTGTAGAAAATGTTTTAATGGTCAAAATATGCCATGTATAAACAAGTCAGGATGTTCTCAATGTAGAGGCACATGACGACTATAAGATTATAAGATGAGACAATCGTATACTCTATCCGTCCCATTTTAAGCGCAACCATAAGTTTTCGTGTCCAACTTTTTAATTGTTATTACATGATAAAACATGAATAATATCTTATGCATGACCTATATTTTTTTTAATTATTTTTAAAAAGTTTTTAAATAAAACGAACGATGTGCTTAAAATAGGACTGAAAGAGTATGTCTTTTCTTGACCATAAGCGAGAGCCTACCCAAAAAAATAATTTCTACTCATGAAGGATTGCCTGTCCTAAAACGTACTGAAAAGCAAGAAGCTCTCAAATTCCATCGTTTGTCTTCTTTTTTTAAAAACAAATCAACGACTCGTGAATCATGACGCTGGAATCGTCTAACTTAATTAATCGCCAATTAGCACATCGTCCTAGTTTATCACGTACGTGTAACGTGTGTTTCCACTTTCCACACTCTAGCCAACCAGAACATGACGTGTGGGAATACGAACAAACACGGTGACGAAGTCCATAAGAGCAAGTTTAATACCGTAGCCTATTAGCTCCAAATTACCTTTAAGTCAATCGAACAACTCATTCATACAATAATTATTTATAAACGTCTATTATAACATTAATATATGGTCTCACTTCTCATATACATAATATTTTGTAGTCCATATTACAGTTGACTACAAATCTGTATCTTAATTTTTTTTTTCTTTTTCTCTCTCTATCTCTTCCACATTTGTTTATAGTTGATTTGTAGCCTGCTATTGTACTTGCTATAACGTTAATACAATTTTTTTTATGGAGTGACACAATACAAACAAGAACTTTCTTAATATATGGAGTTTTTTTTGGACAACTTAATATATGGAGTTGGTCGATGATGAACAACGCATTCGTTCACGATGGACAAAAGCTGTTCGTGGTTAGGCTCCAGATCAGCGCTACTAACCTTCTTGGTTAAGGAATATTCTTTCGGCCAGCTTGCTGTTTACTTACTTTAATGAAGCTGCGATTTTTTGGGATTAATTGTGGCGGGGATGTGACCGACCAACCGGGTCGAGCCAATGCGGTCGCACCGACAGCTCCGCCGCTTTTTTTTTAGCAAAAAAAAAAAAAATGTTGGCCTCTCCGAGTCCGACATCGAAATAATACTGTTGGAATCGAGTTTTTTCTTCAGAAGAGTACATTTTAAGATAACTTTTAGACAAAGTAATTAATCAGATTTTGTTCTTTACTGTAACCATTTTGTGGTGTGTTAATGGATGTATGACGGTAATACTTCACCCATCAGGATTTATATCATACTTCCTTCGTTTCACAGTATTTCCCACATTCATATTGATATTAATGAGTCTAAATAGATATATACTCTCTCTAGTTATATTAATTGACGTTTTAGACAAGATTAAGGTTAAACTTTTATAACTTTGACCAATAATAACTTTAAAAATATTTAGTTTAAAGAAACTATAAAAACATATATAGATTTGTCTTTCAAAACACTATAATAAAAGTAAACATGCATTTATTTATTATATATATTATAATAGAAAATAAGGTCAAAGGTGTATGTTGTAGAGCGTGTCATTGTTTAAAGCGTCAATTAAAATGAAACTGGAGGGAGTATATCTAGATTCATTAACATCAATATAAATATGAGAAACACTAGAATGACTAACATTGTGAAACGGAGGGAGTACTCCTCACAGATAGTAGGGCTAGTTATGTATTGTTGGTCTCCATCTCTATGAGTGATAGGAGATGTACCTATGGGTTTGTGAGTGTGGTGTGTATGTGCGTCTTCTGTCTAATCACAAAAAATATGTTTATTAGAAAATAATAGTTTTATATTAATTCAAAATCTAAGAACTTATTTGTCTTTCAAAAAAGTACTATCTTTATGTTTAAGACTCATTTTCAGAAAAAAAACAATACAGAGGACCTATATTTTTTCAAAAAAATGAAAAAAAATGAACACAATTAACAGGTGGAAAACAATTTTCGTGTGGCACTAGCGGGCTTGACAGCGAAATCCAGCCGCAGACCGGATTCCCCTCGATATACCGGTCTACCTCCGATCCCGACGCGGCCGTCACGCTGCTGCTCTGCTCGGCCGAGCCGAGTCGTCGGCTCGGCTCGCTTCTCCCGTTCAGACCCAAGCCATTCAACGGTCAACATTCAAACACACTGACCCAAACCCAACCCCAACCAAAATAAACAAGGGTCAATCCACCCTTTCAAACCCCGCGTACGTAACAACAAATTAACGTGCACTCTTCCCCCAACCTATATATCCTTTCTTCCCCCCTCACTTCCTTCCACAACCTCACACACACACAAAAACTACTACGAACTTCTTCAAACTCTACATCCTCAAGTCGCACGGATTCGTTTTTCGTTAATTTGGCAAATAGGTATGGTTTTGCCGATGTCTCGCGCGACGAGGGTGGCCGGGAGGCTGATGCCAGAGATATCGTTGCTGAGACGGGGGAGGAAGTCGGCGGCGAGAGGCGGCGACGATGCGGAGGTGGAGGTGTCGGTGCCGGCGAACTTCGTGTGCCCGATCTCGCTTGAGATGATGAGGGACCCGGTGACGGCGCCGACGGGGATCACGTACGATCGGGAGAGCGTGGAAGGGTGGCTGGCGAGGGGGCACGACACGTGTCCGGTGACCGGCCGGCCGGTGAGGCTCGCCGACCTGGTGCCCAACCACGCGACGCGGCGGATGATCCAGGACTGGTGCGTGGCGAACCGGGCGCGCGGGGTGGAGCGGGTGCCCACGCCCAGGGTGCCCGTCGGCGAGGACGACGCCGAGGAGGTGGTAGCCGGGGTGTCCGCCGCGGCGAGGCGGGGCGACGCGGCGGCGTGCGGCGCCGCGGCCGCAACGGCCAGGGCGCTCGGGAGGGAGAGCGAGCGGAACCGGCGGTGCCTCGCCGGCGCGGGCGCGGCGCACGCGCTGTCGTCCGCGTTCGGGCTGCTCGCCGGGGAGGAGCCCGTCGTCGAGGGCGCCGTCGCCGGCGCGCTCGGGGAGATCCTCGCCGCGCTCACGGTGTTCTTCCCGCTCGACGAGGAGTGCCGCAGCTGCATTGCCTCGCCGCCGTCGCTCAAGTCGCTCGCCTCGCTGCTCTCCCACGGCGGCGAGCTCGCCGCGCGGGTCAGCGCCGCCGTCGTGCTCCGCGAGCTCGCCTCCTCCGGCGACCGCCACGCCCTGGAGGCCATCGCGAGGGCCCACGGCATGTGCGACGCGCTCGTCGGCCTCGTCACGAGCCCCGTCTCCTCGCAGGCCACCAAGGCCGCCCTCGTCACGGCCTACTACCTCGTCTCCTCCGGCGACCGCGCCGCCGCGCGCTTCGCGGAGCTCGGCGTGGTCCCCGCCGCCGTGGAGCTCCTCGTGGACGCCGACAAGGGGACGAGCGAGAAGGCCCTGGCCGTGCTCGACGCCGCCCTGTGCGCCGACGCCGGCGTCGAGTCCGCGCGCGCGCACGCGCTGACCGTCCCGGTGCTCGTCAAGAAGATGTTCCGGGTGTCCGACATGGCGACGGACTTCGCCGTGTCCGCGCTCTGGCGCCTCTGCCGCGCCGGCGCCGGCGCCGCGCCGTGCCGCGCCGAGGCGCTCCGCGTCGGCGCGTTCCAGAAGCTGCTGCTGCTGCTCCAGGTGGGCTGCGCCGGCGTCACCAAGGAGCGCGCCAGCGAGCTGCTCAAGATGCTCAACGGGTCGCGAGGCAGCGTCGAATGCATCGAGACAGTGGATTTCAAGGGTCTCAAGAGGCCATTCTGAATTTCTGATCAAAGTTGATTTTTGTAGATTTTTCTTTTTGAGAGTTAGATGTGTGGATAAAACATACAGGCATGGTAGTTTTAGGACACAGGGAATTTTTTTTGACACTGTAATTGAACATTCTTATACACACAGAAATCAACAACACACAGGAGAAACAAAGATTTTTTTTCTTATTAATTCTTGCGACATCTTGGTGCTTATTTCATGATTTTGAGTATATGAATGTGAATTTGATGTTGGTAGCAGGTCCGATCGAGTTCCTGTGTTTTGAAGGACATGTGAGCGCTAGGCAAGATGGCACGAAATTCAAAAGGTAATTAATTAAGCAAGTGAACTGAAGAGCTAGACGCAAAGTCTGTATCTGTCCTTGAGAGTTTTAAATTCGGCCGTGTTTGCGAAATTACATTAATTCATGAATGTCGATAGCAAAACAAGAACAATTTGATCAAGACGTCTTCGTTTTGAGTCACATAAACGAACACAGGAACTCATCGAGTCTGACCGAATCCACTGGAGCAAATGCATGGTGTTTTTAGTTCACGCTAAAATAGAAAGTTTGGTTGAAATTGGAACGATGTGATGAAAAAGTTGAAAGTTTATGTGTGTATGAAAATTTTAATGTGATGAAAAATTTAAAAGTTCGATGAAAAATTTTGTAACTAAACCCGGCCTAAACGCTATCCAGGTGCTGCGATTCCGTGGGCTTTTGCACACGTTTCACAAATCAAACAGGAAATTAAACTCATCGCCTCAGGCCTCAGCTCACCTTTCGTGCTGTAAAGCCATAGCTTTTCGCGGCATTCCACTGCACTATCGCTAGTACATTCTGACCAAAGGAAGGAGAAGAGGTTGCTGATTTGTACACGACCTGACCAGAGAGGGTCTTCCGGCTAGCTTCAAAGGTGGTGGACTAGACGATTTAGATTTAAAGTCTCACCTATTTTAATTATTTGATATTAGTTCCTTCTCTAATATTTATGTTTTTTTACATGACCAGACGAACACGAGTACAGTGCACATAGACGGCACTAAGGGAGTGTATAGATCCAGGGGTGTAAAGTTTTGTCATGTCACATCAGTTATTATATAGGGTGTCACATGGAGTATTCGGGTACTAATAAAAAAGCTAATTACAGAATCCGTCAGTAATCCGCGAGACGAATTTATTAAGCCTAATTAATACGTCATTAGCAAATGTTTACAGTAGAATCACATTGTCAAATCATGGAGCAATCAGGCTTAAAATATTCGTCTCGCAAATTAGTTGCAATCTGTGCAATTATTTATTTTTTAGCCTATATTTAATACTTTATGCAGGTGTTCAAACGTTCGATATGACAGGGTAAAAATTTTTGAGGTGAATCTAAACAGGGCCTAAGAGCAGGTATAATACTCCCTACGTTTTAGGTTATAAGACATTTTGATTTTAGTCAAAGTTAAACTACTTTAAATTTGATTAAGTTTGCAGAAAAAAGAGTAGTAATATTTTTAACCAAGACAAACTTATTATAAAAATATATTTAATTATTGATTTGATGAAACGAATTTAGTATTATAAATATTACTATATTTCTCTGTAAACTTTTTCAAACTTAAAACAGACCAAAGTCAAAACGTCTTATAACCGAAACCGAGGGAGTAGCAGACTATAATAGCAAGTTTAATAGTATAGCCCACTACTAGTTCCAATTCATCTATAGTCAATCTAATAGCCAATTCATATAATAGTTGCTTACTATACTATTAATATATGGTCCCACATATTATGCACACACTGCGTCTTGGAGTCCGTGCTGCAGCTGGCTACAGATCTGTAGCCCGCTGCTCTTCTCTCTCATCTTTTATCTCATTAAAATATGCTTATAGCTGGCTAATAGTATGCTATTGTACCTGCTCTAAGCCAACTATAAACACATATCGAGAAGATAAAAATGTAAGAGAAAAGCAGTGGGCTATAAATTTATAGCCAGCTGCAGCACGGACTACAAGATACAATATGTGTATGACAGGTGGGACCAAATAATTAATGTAGCATATGTTTATAGGTACCTATTGTATGAATTAGCTATTAGAGCAAGTTTAATAGTATAGCCAACTACTAGCTCTAATTCATCCATAGCCAATCTAATAGCTCATTCGTACAATAGTTACATACTACACTATCAATAACTGGTCCCACCTGTCATACACACTGCGTCTTGGAGTCTGTAATACAGCTGGCTACAAATCTGTAGCCCGCTGCTCTTCTCTCTCCTCATTTATCTCCTTAATTACAATATGTTTGCAGCTGGCTTATAGTCTGCTATTGTACCTGCACTTAAATTGACTATAGATGACTTGAAGTTAATTAGTAGTTGGCTATACTATTAAACTTGTTCTAATACGACATCGCTGGACCACCATTCAGCCCATTCTCACACCGTCGACCAAAAATAATTAAGAGTAAATTTCACAACACTACATAAATTTTGATAAAGTTATCACAAAGCTAAAGATTTAGAATCAATTTTATCGAAGAAATACAAATTTTAGGATGGACAATCATTAAACTAGATATTTAGTTTTAAAATTATGAGAAAACTATATGTCTTATACCATGTTAAGTGCAAAACAACAATATTTATCACTCTAACATAACATTAGTGATAAGGATTTAAACTACAGACATCTATAGTGACATCTATAGTTTTGTGATAACTCTAGTATTAAATCTATAGTTTTGTGATTTTTGATATTAAATCTGTAGTTTTGTAATAAGTCTTGTGTTAAATTTTTAGTTTTACGATATAACATCTAAATATATAAATATATAGTTTTACGATAATATGATCAAAATACATATCGATTTGCGAAATTTGCTTAATAATTAATTACTCGACGACGGCGAAATTAATCCTCTTCCATTTCGAAGCCTAACCAAAGTCCAAAGCCATGCATCACCGTCCAGCCTGTGATCACCTAAACCATGACAGGCGACAGCTACTGGAAGAGAATGGTACGTTGAATTGGTGGAGAAGTAGTCGACCAAGCTAACAGGTCTTCGTCTTCCTCCTCCACGTCGTCGTCGTTGGCTCTCGTGATGCTGTTGTGATAGTTGCAGAGATATATTTGCAGGGTAGCGTGTGGTACTGCGTACTTTTCTCGATCTAATTAACCCCATGGACCGGCACGCTGACCAGCCGACCACTACCGATCGCCATCAGATCGCTACAGGTCTCGTCGTCTTCGCCGTTGCATTTCTTGGCCAGTAGCTACTACCTTTTTTTTCTTTTCGAGGTGAACCTCGAGAGTAGTTCCTGTTTTATATTAACAGGAAAAAGGAGCTGTCTTGTTTACTTAAAAAATCAGGCCGAAAATAATACTATTGCACGGCTAATTAAAAAAAAGGGTAAAAACCTATGTAGAAAGGGAAAAACAAAATAACTTGCGGTGCCACAATTGTTACGACCCAACACTAATTATCATTGTCAAGTTCACCACTATAAATAAGCAGCTCCAACATCTCATAGCGAGAGTCTCAAAACCACCTAAATGTTCGACTGTGGAGCAGGACCTTCTAAGCGAAGCCTCAAGGAGGAAAACAACGACAAAGCCGCTACCAACGTCCGTCCAGGAACCACACTAAATTTTTACCCGAAGGAAGAGAGAGTCACCGTGATGACACCTCCAAGGAGGAAACGATACCCGCAGGCATCGATATCGTCGACCTTGCTCAAAGACCAGGCTGAGCTTTCGCCCAAGACTCTCAAAAGCTAGATTACCCTCCAATGATGCCAAAGCAAAGGAGTCATGTGTTATCGTTGTCCAGCTCACCACTTTGGTGCAATAGCTCCGATTCCGTCACAACTTTAACACTACAGCACCACAGAAAGCAAACATGATTGCTGCACCTCCAACCCCTTACCATATCGCCAAAACGAAAGCAGTTGAGGGTTATCGTTATCGAGCTTACCACACTGGCCCGATCAAGCAGCTCCGACTTCACAACAACCAACAAATGCTCGACTGCGTCAGCAAGATAACCACCTCTCCATGGGACCAGGGTTTGCACTTTCGATTGTGGTGAAAATTTCGGTAATTTTAGTACCTCCGAGATTTACGAATTTCGTGATTTAGGCACTTTTTGGAATGATTTTTTTTGAAAATTTATTTTGAACTTTTGTTCCATAAGATATGACACTATAATCTATACATGATCAATTTTATTCAAAAAAAGTCATAACTAGTAGCTATATTTGTGGCGCTGCATTTAAAAAATCCAGTTAAATTGTTTTTATACTGCAAATAACCTATACTTACAGTATAATTATACAATGTAAATTTTAAAAATTACACTATAATTATCGCAAAATCTAAATCGAGAGCGCTCTCGATTTAGTCATAATGAGCGACGCTAGCCATTGTCCAGATACGATCAGCCATTGTCCAGATATGTGTCTTGAAGAATCTTCTTTTACTATAGTACTAATTGATCAAGCAAGCAGAAAAAATATTCCTACCATCTATGCTTTAAATATAATTTTCTCTTAAACTACTCATCCGATCTACGATCCGATTACACCGTTGTGTTCATAACAATTAAATCTTTACAACAAGATCTCACATGATTATATTTTGGTAAAAAATCACAAATTACTTTTATAATATATCTAAATTACTTTTAGATTTCACTAAGTTACTTCTTAAACATATAAAAGTAAATTCAATAAAGTTTTAAAGTAATTAACATATATTATAGAAGTTACTTTCTTTTTGTTTTTGTTATAAGTTACTTCTATAGTATAATGTAAATTACTTTTAGGCTTTATTGAATTACTTTTATATATGTCTAAGAAGTAACTTAGTGAAATCTAAAAGTAGTTTAGATATATTATAAAAGTAATTTATATTTTTTCATCAAAATATAATCATGTGAGATCTTATTATAAAGATTTAATTGTTATAAACACAATAGTGTAATCGGATTATAGATCGGATGAGCAGTTTTAGATAAAATTGTATTTGAAGTATAGGTGGATAGTGCCTATCATATATGGAGTGGTAGCTAGTTTAGACAAACCAGCTACCACTAGCTGTGTAGTTACGTTCTATAATTATATTATAAGTTCCAATTCTTACATTGTAATTTAGGATTAAAAATAATATATTATCTACTTGGAAGAGTAGGAAATAGAGAA